CTCCAGGAGCACTCACTGTGCCTCCCGTGGACGCAGGCTCTCCCCAGGACCTGGGACACGAAGGCCACGGAGCAGTCGGAGCCGCCTGGGCGGGAAGGCGGCGTCAGGGCCGTGGCCCGAGGCCCATAGGGCGGCCCCAGAGCTGCAGTGGGCCCCGGGCGCGGACCCCTGCGCCGCCGGGAAGGAGGCAGGGCGGCGCCAGAGTCAGGTGAGAAATGGGGTCAGGCTGCGGCAGCTCCCTGGGGGTCCCCAGACTCGGGCTGAGGGGCGGGCAGGCAGAGGGAGCCCAGCCCGCGCCCCCGCACCGGGCCCCCGCGGAGCAGTGGGTGCAGGAATGGCCAGATCCAGCCTCTCCCGGCACAGCCACGGAGCCACGCTGGCTTCCAGGACGACCGCTGGGCGCGGCGGGCAGCCCCGTCCCATCGCCCCCATCGCCCCCAACTCCCTCCAGCAGCCGACGGGCGACCCGGAAGGCAGGGAGACCTTGGCAGCACGTCTGGGCCAGGGCCCAGGGCCGGTGGGCGGAGGCGGGCGCTCACCGCGGAGGGAGTCCACCACGGCCTGCAGCACGTGCCCAGCCGCTGCGCCCAGCAGAGGGAAGTAGCTCTGGGGCAGGAACTCGGCCAGGTTGTCCTGCTGCAGGCGGTTGGCCAGGCGATCGGGCAGGCCCACCACGAGGGTGAGCAGGGTGTCCTGCAGCGGCGGGCCGGCCAGCTCCCGCGGCTGCCGGCACTGCCCCTCCATCACCGCGGCCATCCTGCCGGCCCCCAGGAACCTGGCCAGCAGCTGCGCCGTCTTCATCAGTCGGAAACTGGGGCTGAAGCGGGAGCAGCCGTGACCGCAGAGCCGGACCGCCACCCGCCCAGGCCGCCCAGCCCCAGCGCGGCCAGAGCACACAGCAGGGCGGCCGCCCACCCCCCGAGCCGCCTGTGCCCAGGCAGCCTGCCCTCCTGGACTCGCGGCCCCTCCAGTCCGCGCCCTGCTGGCCTTCTCATCACAGCGTTGGCCAGAGCCAGCACGCAGTGCTTCGGGGCCCCACTAAGGATCCCCAAGGAGTTCCTCAGGACTCGGCTAGGTGAGCGGCTCTTTCATGCAGAGCCGACGCCCGGCAGGAGGACACTGTCCTCACCCACCACCTGCCTGGGCAGCTCTGGAGACAGAGGGGCAGCACACAAGCCCTGCAGCCTCCAGGGGCCCTGCTCCCCAGGCCTGGAGAGGCCCCCCAACGCCACTGCCGCGCCCACTCACCCTGCGGTGTCCTGAATGGACTCCATCAGCACCAGGAAGGCCTGGTCGGCAGGGCCCTCCAGGAAGAAGCTGGCCCACAGCTCCTCCAGCCGGCCGCCGGGCAGCAGCTCCAGCCAGCCGGGGCGCAGCGCGCCCAAGAGACTCCTGAGGACCGTGGCGAAGTGCGCGCGGGAGAACTCCTCCTGCTCCCCGGGCGGGGCGGGCCGGTCTGTGCGGCCCAGGTACCGCTGCAGGGACCCCAGGGCGGAGGCGAGCTGGACACCATCCTCAGAAGACGCAAGGATGCGCACGGCCTCCCGGACCTGGAGACGGACGGCAGCGCGCGCGGCGTCCATCCTGCGGGAAGCGCACGGGCCCCAGCGGCTCTCTCCGGTCCCCGAAAGCCCACCGGCCCTCCCGGAGAGCCTGCGGGGGCCCTCCC